GGCGGTGGGTGGGTGGGTGTTTTTTCTTGTGCATGCTTTCAGCCTCTGGCAGGGCCTGTGGCATCCTGCAGGTGACATGGGGAAGGGGAGAGGACTTGGGAAGCGGGGCTTGTGTTTTCCAGCTATGCTCTGACTGGTGGTCTCACACAAAGCAGAGAGGGTGGCAGCAGCTGCGATCAGATTTTGCCCTGGCATATTTCACCTCCACAACTCCCTCTCTGGAAGTCAACCCCCTGCTGCCCTCCCTTGGCTTCCCATGCCAGGCTTGGAGAACACATACCTGCATGTTGACCTGGATGGGCTGTCTTTCCCCACTCTTGGTATGGGGCACCCCTTCTGTGTCGTAGATCCCTGTGTAAAAGGCCACCTGTGCATCCCTTGATTTCTCTTCCAGTGGGACATTGACGCCCCCGATGCCCATTGTCCTGCAAAAAGACAGGATCCAGCCTTTCAGCAGTCCTGCAGGTCCCCTTCCTAGCAGCTTGGAGCCAGCATATGGGCTGGCAACCTCTGTGCTTGGGGGATGCTTCAGGGATTTTAGCAGACCTGCAGGTGCTGCTGACTCACTGGGGCTCCTGAAAAATGTCAGGGCTCTGCAGTCACCCAGGGAAGGTGTAGAAAGGAAAGGCAGGGGGGATCTGACCTCGAGTAACTGGGGAGAGGTTAGTCAAATCTCTTTTCCAGGGCTGCCCCTCCACCCAGAGCTGGTTCCCCATCTGCATCCTCCCTAGTCCCTGTCTTTGCTTTGCCGTGCTGCAGCGAGGCTTGGGCATGGTATATCCCTGACACGCAGGGCCGGAGGGGTCTCTTCCTTCTGTCTCCATGCCAAACCATGGGGAAGGAGGGAGAAAAGGAGCTGGGTTTGAAAGAGCTCGGGAAGAAGGTGGGGAGGGAGAGGGAAGGAAGCAACTCCAAAACGCGGCCTCTCCCCCGAGCCAGCCGGGCAAAGCACTGGGAACAGCTGGCCAGGGACCTCGAAACGGGGCCACCCAAGCAAAAGGGCGGGGGGAGAGAAATCACGGAAACCCCGTGCTGTCAGCCTGCCAGGAAAAAATATTAAACCTCTAAAAATAAAGTAGCGAGAAAGGGGGGGCTGGGGGAGCCGCCCCGAGCAGGGAGGCTGCACTTACGTGGCCTGGACGGTGCCGGGCCGCAGAGCCACCTCGATCTTATACTTGGCCCCGGTCAGCAGCTTGATGGTGCGGTTCTGGCCGAAGCGCTGCCCGTCCACCTTAAAGTACACCGCGCCGTCGTTGGGCTGGATTTTGAGGGAGACGCTGATTTTCACGAGGCCGGGGATGTCGCCCATCGCTTGTCGCCGTGGGGGCTG